CATTCCTGCCTGCCAGCATTGCTGGTGTGTGTGTGACCTGGGTCATAGCTCAGATTTTCTTCCTGAGGCTGCACCAGAGCATGTCTCACTGTGTACACCTTCTTAGCAAAAGGGACACGGTCCACCCTGCGCAGTACAGATGGCTGCTAATAACCTATTAGCTCTCCTTGTTAAATATTCCTGGCTTGTTGACCTTTTTGGGCTACCGCAAAGTCCATAAGAGTAAGTGGGGAAAGGCAAAGCATCTCAGGGTAAGATGTTTGAGGAGAGGAAAATGAGGGGTAAGGAGGCTCTACCCTGGTTTGTGACACCCGGGCATATGTAGACATCATGATGAGGGAGGGCTAAAATGCTTCGTTTCAGTTTTGAAAGTATTTTGGGGTGTTTTGGTATACTTTCCCTTTGAACTGAAAGCAAGATTGCTTACTGCTTGGAACTGACATTTTAACTGTTACATTTATTTAAACCCAGTCTGGGATAACTGAAATATTTTGAATTGGGCACAAGAAAATCAGGTGCCAGATTGTCTACACATAGAGTTGACAGTCTTCTTCTGTAAGTATTCAACGGGAATCAGTGCAACACAACTCAAAAATAGTAAAAGTTAAAAATTACCTCAGAGTGCAATTCACAAAAACCCTGTAGGATTGGGCTCAAAAAGAGAAAGTATGTACAGATTTTAGCACAGACTCTTCAGCAGCAGATGTTTTTGGGACATGTCATACGACATCCATAAGTCTCCAGAATAATTAGAGGCTTTTTGCAGGGCATCACAGATACCCCAGGTAGAAGTCCCTCATGTTTGTGAACATCTTCAGCCTTCATCAAAGTGATCAGGTACGCCAAAGGTGCCAGCAGCTTCCCAGAAATGTGGTTCCAGTGACAACCTACAGTAAAGGCTCCTCTGCTGTTAATTGCCAGTGCAAATAAAACTGGTTAGAAGTTGGTGTAATCTCCCCAGGTTCGGACACTGATCTTTTCAACCTGTGTGCAAGATAGATCGAAGAGAACTCTGCTGTTTCACAGCAGAGAAGTCCTTTCAGGTCTGACTGGTCTGTAGTTAGTGTAACGCAGATCACGTAGTTTTGCTTATCACCTGCAGTACAGATATTTGTACAAACGAAGAAAACTGAAAGTGCCCTCCTAAGAAGGGAGATGCAGCAAAGAGTCTGGAGAAGTGTCCACTGGTTTAGAGAGGCCTTTGATTGAGAAGGTACCAATAAAGCGGTGAGAACTGCAAACAGCACCTCAGCAAGGAGTTTTCAGGGAGTGAAGAGGCCTTTGATTGAGAAGGTACCAATAAAGTGGTGAGAACTGCACCTCAGCAAGGAGTTTTCAGGGAGTGCGAAAAGGGACTGCAACATGTGCTCTTGATGTAGCAGGGTGTCTCTGCCCTGCGGGACGAGCACGGCTTGCCCACCTGCCTGACCCCTGCAATGAACGCACCCATACCCACTGCTCTGTGGAGCGTTTTCCAACGTGCGGCCCCAGCAGCATGGCATACATGTGAGCTGCGAGGTCCCCAAAGGCATCGCCCTCACAGGGCTGCCTGGCCTCGCTTGGATCACCAGCCATTAGCACGTCCATGTGGGACAAGCGAGAAACCAGAGTGCATGGAGCCCGGACCGTGTGGAAATGGTTCTCAGGCACCATTCACCACGTTGGTTCATCTCCATCAGGGATGCAGGGGAGCTGGAAAATCCCTGCATGGACTCAGAGCAGCCCTGGTCAAGAGAAGTACATATGCTGTTCTGGAGGCTGGCCAGGGTCTCAGGGGATGGGCCAGGGCATTCAGACAGTGCCCTAGCATGGGTAGGATAAGCTGGGTGATGGCCAGCACCCGCCTTCAAAGGGAAAGGCACCACATCAGTCCCACCCACCTCTGCAATATCTCCGATTCCTGGCCCCTAGTTCATCCTGGATGGACCCAGGAGAGGGGCTGATGGCAGAGGGCTAAGTGGCGGATACAGCAGTAGGTTGGTGATGCACAGACTGGGAGGGAGCCAAGAGTCCCCCATTCTTAGCCGCCAGCCCTGAGCCCGTGACCCCATTGCCCCAGGTGTAAAACACCTCACAAGCACTGGAAAAGCCTCGAGTTTTCAGACTGGAAAATGTGAGCTGCTGCTGTTTGACCTGCTGCATCTGGGCCCTGGAGAGGAGAAGGCACAGCAGCAGCATAAACATCTCCAATTAACAAGCTGTCAGAGAAGGACTGAGAGCCCACTTATAGTGGATCATGGTAACGTTTGTGAAGAGATTTCCACCTTCTGTGGAAAGAAGAACAAACCTATATTTACTCCCTGTTTGGGTGAGGGTCTCTGGAGTTTTCAAGGAGCTGGACTAATAGCTTTAAGATAAAATTTGATGCAATGTCAAATTATTTTCTCTTCAAAACCTGTTCTTCTGGAAAATAAATTATGGAGAAGAAGATGAATAATTTATTATTCACTCATTTAAAAAGAAGCTGTTGGCAATGGTTTAGTCAGATGCAGTGCCTTTGGCCAATAAAGATAATAAAGGAATAAAGGATTAGTCATCAATACTGCACTGAAAGAAAAAGGTCAAATTTGTCATTGGTCTAAATCCAAAAGGCCAGTTTTTGTTCTGTTATTCTAAAATGGTGGCCTTTGGTCCCCCTTTGATTTTCACAATGCAAAATAATTCCAGTGGAGATGCAGACTCTTCCATGGAATAGTTAAACCTATTAAATGTTCCCACTTTGTTGCCTTTTCAAAATCCATCAGGAATAGTTTGTGCACCCTCAGGTAGCTATGTAGTACAAGCTGACAAGTGCTGTATTAAAACAAAGGGTTAAGGCATTATTCAGGTATAGGGAACTGAATCCGGCCTCTGGATTTATAGACCCAAGCAGATTTCCTCAGAGAAGTTGCTCCGCAACAAAGATTCTTGGATGAACTCCTGACTTGGATTTTCAAAACTGCCATGAGGTGGGATTTCAGCAAGGCCAGGATTTCACTCTGTCAACAACAAAAAAACTAATGCCTTCTGGCTCCCCTGCAATTGAAGTTATACTTCACATGCTGGCTCTTTCTGTCCTGCATCCACTACATCCATGGTAGATAGGTCTATGGCTGATTTTTCCCTCCTGTTACAGCAGGACAAGTCACCTTTCAAGGCCCTATAACCTTTATCCTGCAACAGCAGCATCAAGAAGCACCATGGCAACAAGGAACTTTGCTGGGAGCTGAGAAATGCCAGCTAGTGCTAGAAACTTCTGTTTGCGTCATCTGTAAAAATTAACAGGCTCTCAAACATAACTGGTTTTGACAAAGGATGAAGCAGTGCAAGTCCTGCTCTGATCTGCTGTATAAATTCCACATTTAAACTCACTTTGTGTGGTTTGATCTCATCCTGTCTTCTATACAATTTGCTTTCTCTGAATTTCCATTTGCAAGTTTCCCACTTCTTCTCATAGCTGTTCGGGTCCAATTTGTCAATATTACTTTAACAGGCAGGTCAGATTGCTAGAGCTGACCTTATGTATCCGTAACTCCAGCATCTCATTCCTGAAGGGCAAACTCAATAATTATTGGTAACATTACTCCAAGGAGCATACTTTTCTGTACTGTAATAAATATGACAAATGTGATATCACTGTCTGAAAAATATTCTCCATACCTCTTAGGTCTCACTATATTTTGAAATATTTAGCACTTCTGCATCATAACTGTCTTAACTGCTGGCAATCTGGCTTCCCTTGCTTTGGAAAGCAGTGAATACATGTTGTTGCTTGTACTCTGCTTACTCACTTTTAGACATGCCCAGTATGATTTAAACTAGATTTATAATGTTATGCCATTTTATGCCTTAGCTTGCTTAAGTTGATATTGGCAACCTGGGGTGTGGATTACTAATCAACAGTGCTTATATCTTGCTATTTTGAGCACTATCCAAAGCCCAAGAGGGCCAAAGAAATAAACTAAGAGTGTAGATTTTACCACATAAAGAAGTTAATTGGCCAGGTAAGAAGATGCCTAACAGATATGAATATAACTTCTCTGCTTCATTGTCCCAAGGATGATGTGAGTTGTCCGAAGTGTCAAGAGGGATACACCCACCTGAACCAAAGATATGTGAAGATTGAAACTATACAAGCACTATTTATTTGCTCCTACACTAGCAACTAGTTAATGCTAGTGTTAGCACAGCTTTTGTCTAAGGAAGCCCTAGTTGCTGTTGCATGGAAGTCTTGGTGATGAGCATATTAAACTTAGATTTTTAGCTCTTCCTATTTTAAAGAAAAGTTTGAAAGCATGGAGGAGAGGCAGGGACTGGAGGCAAAGCAGCTCCCCCAGGCAGCCAACAACATTGCTCTGCCTCTTCATCGCAATGTCCGAGCAGACCAGGACAGAGCCGCTGTGTGGTGGAGATGAGCGGAGGTCTCTGAGCGGAGCAGGAGAGGCTGGCAAAGGGGATTACACCTCAGGCTGTACACTGCAGGGGATGAGAGAGCCAGAGGGGTCTCAACACTGCCTTTGACTCCATCTGCCACCATGGGCTAAAGCCCTCAGGGATTGGTCCTCATAGTGGGATCAGAAAATGTGTTCTCCGTAACAAAGCTCCTCTGCAGTGCTTGTGGCATAGCGATGCTCGTTTGAGGAATCAATATTGCAAGTGGTACTGCCCTGCAGTACTTTGGTTTGAACATGAGTGTGCCCCTGTGCCTCCACAGCATCCTGTGCTCAGCCCTCTGCAGCATTACAGCAAAGGGCAGCCAAGATCTTAAAACGAACATGCTGTTTGTGGGCATGAGTTCCCCATTTCACCAACAAAGGAGAAGGAAGGCAGAGAGACATTCCTGAGGCGGCAGTGACTCTGGATGAGATTGCTAGCTTCCCACCTTGTGTTCAGTCCTGAAGGATCAGAAAAACGTGGGTATCTGCAGTATTTATTCTTCCCATTAGTTACTGATCTCATTTTGTTACAGTTGTTTTTCTTCTTTTTTTATCTTTACTGATCTTTTTTATATTTTGTGTTTTGTTAATTCTTTTTTTCTCCTACAGCAGAGAAATTGCAAATACAACGTTATCGTGAGTCATGTGCTGACTTTGTTTTCTTATCTACCTTAGGACATTTATTTACCCCTTCTTCACTAGAGGCAGACCTTTCCCACTGCAATTGCTTTTCTTTGGCACGTTATTCTGTATCTATAATGGCTTCCTCCAGGGGTACTACCTGATTTACTGCGCTGAATATCCAAACGATTGGTGCACCGACATCAGATTTACATCAGGTAATTACAGCTGCAGGATTCCCAAGATCTAATCTCCAAGCAATTTGTAAGCATTTTGAATTATGTCCTAATCTTCACTGAACATGCGAGTCAAATCAATTGTGATGGAAATCAGCATAAAACCTGCCCGCTGGCCCAGATAAAACAAATAAACATACAGTGACTTTTTTTTTCTTTTTTTTTTTTGGCTAGGCAGGCACCTTTGAAGGCGTACGATGTAATGTGCTAGTCCCAAATCACCAGCCTTGTTTTCCTGACACCGCTCTAGAGCCTCCCACTGCTACAGGCTGCGGAGATGCAATCTCAGGCCTCAGCTGAACGGGGATGTGCCTTTGCTCAGCCAAAAATGCCCAGCCAGCAGTGGCCATGTGCAAGCACAAACTATGGCTTTCTCTTCCCTGCCAGGGAGCTTTGCACTTGATGCAGCTATTCCAACTGAGAGGGAAAAGAAGGGCAAAACCCCAGCATAAATGAGGCTTTAGAGACAAAGGACTCTTTTTTCTCGTGTAAGGCACATGGGAAGATTAAAGATCACGCACAGTCTGGTTGTATGCTAATATGGTTCCTTTATATTCTGTGACTTAATAGCCTAGCTGAATTTCACCCTGTAAAATCCCTAAGAGAACAACTGAGCAAGAGCAGCTAGGTGGCATTACATATTTGGTGCTGCACAGAGGATGTTTTCTAAATACACACATAGAAGTGAAGATTACCATGGAGGTCTGAGGAAATGTTTTGGATACGACAAGTACAAAATAACCAAGGTACTTTTCTTACCCCGTTTCAGGCCGTGGAGGTAAGTTCAGTCTTTTCAGATAGCATCACATGTTAAAAATCCTGGATGTTTTTTAGTAAAGAGCTCACATAGCCACAAAGAAAACACCACATCACATAATTTGCATGAAAAATAAAAATATATATATTTAATTTAAACAAAGGAAATCGGCACTAGCAGTACTTGAAATATTAAACAAAACCCAGCACATTCTTCCTCTACAGACTCTTAGAACTTTCTGTTGCTACTGGAAGTGCTGAGCTTTTATCAGCACTTAGTCTTTTTTCTATACTTCTTAGCACGCACCAGCTCTATTTCTTTCCTTGCCTCCCAGTCATCATCAGAGGTCGTTTTCTCAGTGTCTAATGTGGCATGAAATGTAGGGCATGTCACCTGCAGCGTTTCTCAATCAAATGCCTCTAGTCTTTCAGCTAAATGGAATCTGGTCAATGAATCATTCTGGCCATAAGCCGTCAGCATCCTTCAGCAAGTCACTGCTCCATGTGCATGCCCATAAGTCTGTCCAAGCAGCCTCGCCGGCAGGGGACTGAGCTGCACTGAGATGTAGTTCTCTTCCCAGCCCCCGTGATGTGCTGGATGAGTTTGTGTTCTCTGTGCTTCTCTTCCCCCCGCCGTGAGATGTAGAATATGAAATAATGGTACTTGCCTAGAGCTCAGTGGTTACTCTGCAGTAATGTCCACAGCTGTGGCTTGCTGCCATCAGCCAGGAGTAGCAGTTGGGTACTTTGTCCCCCTCTTGATGCTCAATAAATGATGACTATGGCCATCTGGGAAGTTCAGCTTTTTCTCACACCAGCTGAAAGTGCTCTGGTCTCACCAACAAAACAGTGTGCTCAGGATGATCATCGTTCTGTCCAGAGTTGCCCTCCACACTGAAGCTATCCAACACAGGTGATCCCGGAGGACTGCGATCCACAACTGACACAGAGATATAGCGTTATTTGTCACCGGTCACCTATTCTTCTTCAGTTCAGTGGCCTTCTCAGTAGCGGTGCATCTTTTGACTTGAAAAAGAATCCACCCATCTCACGTTAGGTCTCCTGTCTTTCTGGTCCAAAGATAAACCTCACATACGTGCTTGAGTAGCAATAACTAGGCAAAGCTGTCTTTCTAATCCATTTCTTGTTTGCTTCTTAGGCCTCCTCTTGTTTCTACTGGGAATGGGAATCAACATTCACAGTGATCTCCTGCTGCGCCAGCTGAGGAAACCCGGGGAAGTCACTTACAAGATTCCTCAAGGTATATTCTTATCCGCCACCTCCTTGGAGAAAGTAGGGTGGCAGGATAGATAATGTTTTCTGACTGAATTCACAGCAAAGCTACAATCATAGCAGAGATGCCGGTATCGCGCAGTTACTCGGTTCAGTAACTTCTGAGCTGCAGGGACTAGTGCGAGCTGGCTGCAGACAGTCCATGAGAAGCAACAAGAGTATCTGGAAAACGTGAGCTGTGAGGAGAGGTTTTAGGAAATGGGCTGCATAATTTTGAGAAGATTGAAGTGGGACATAGGAAAAAGATTTTAGCCTTGTAAAAGACAGCTGCAAAGAAGGAAATACTCTGTTCTGTGCCCAGTAAGAAGTAGTAGTGGAATTCTTACATTGCAAAAGAGAGATTCAAAGTGTAAACTTTAAGTGAAAAAGTAACACCAAGGATGCAAGGTGCAGAATTTCCTTTCCGTCTCCTTCAAGGTGGGGCTTGGTGAGTAAGAGTGGCTGTGGGCCCGAGCGGTGAACCAGGAAATGTCTAGCTCTGTAGAGCAATATGGATGGGGATCCAGGAGTTTCCTGGTTTTGGTGTTGACTCCTTCTGCTGGCTTGTTACAGATGGTAATTATCTCTCCCCCAGAGCTTCTCACCTCCAATACTTACCTGCCTCTTGTAGATGTTGTGATTAGCTAAGATGCAAAGCTCAGATCCCGATTTTGCATTCCCCAAAGGTAGTGAAGTTGCAAAATATTTTTCTGGCCTGAAGAGAATTGACTAATGTTAATAATTTTAATTTAAATCTAATAATAAGCTTTCTTAAGTCCTTTTCCAAATGAGAATAAATGATTGTGAAAGTGCTGGGAGCCTCTGAGTTAGAATCACCTTTGATTCTTGTGCTTGTACAAGAGAGAAGTATATTCTGCTGCTGACTTGATGAGAAAGAACTTTCCATGTGCATGAGATGACTGTAAAAAATATATATTTTATCTGTCGATACAGGAGGACTGTTCACCTACGTTTCTGGAGCCAACTACTTTGGAGAAATTGTGGAATGGTTTGGTTTTGCCATAGCAACCTGGTCCCTACCAGCCTTTGCCTTTGCCTTTTTTACTCTTTGCTGCATCGGGCCACGTGCTTATCACCATCACAGGTATCAAACTGTTTCTTGCCGTATGCTGCTGCTTACTCTTGGAATGCAGTTTGCAAAACACCAGGGAGGGGCAGAGGAGCAGGTCCAGGATTCAAGATGAAATTGAAATTTAATACTACAAGAAGTGTGCTTATTTGTGGCTGGGTGAAAGTAAGACATTCGACTGGAGCCCCTGTTGAGTCAAGTGGGTCTGATAGTCACTTAATCTGACATAAGTTGCATCATTGCTTCCGCTGTGTTAAAGCCTCTTTTTACTGAGCCTTGTAACTGCAAACCTTTCCTAAAGGTTCTGTTGCAACCTCTGCAGTCCTTTGGAGCATATATGGTCCCCTGCTCCGAATTCCTAAAGTTTCGACTTTAGGTCTGTTAGAACTTTAACAGTATTATCACCTTTCATATAATTAAATAACCCAGTGTAAATAGTTCTGGAGCGCTCTTTTGCAGAGTAATGCACAGAGGTTACGGAGCAAGGCAGTATGGAGGAGTTTAAAGGTTCCTCAACTGAGCTGTATTGAAACTGTGCAGTTTCCTTGTATGTATGCAGGTTCAATTTCTTGCTTATTTTCTTTCAGGTACTATCTCAAGACATTTACGGACTATCCAAAATCAAGGAAAGCCTTGATTCCTTTTGTTTTTTAATGATTGAAATATGGACTCTGTGTTCTGTTTTTATAGGGCTTTTTTCAATTCCTAGTTTAAATGTTAGGTCTGACTATAATTAATTGTACAAATGATAACCTGGGGTTGTAAGAGACAAGAAAGTAATTTGGAACTGAAGTTCTTGTTTTTAATTACAGGGGAAATTGCAGATAGTTGTGGGCAAAGGGGTTCCCCAAACATCACGTTTGCTTGTCAGTGGAGTTCTACCTACCTATTGAAAATGGATATATAACTGCACTGACATCAGAGAAAAAGCATCGTCTAAAAACTGATGCAGAAAAGTAGAAAGTAAGCCCATGACTTCAGAGAAAGTCTTCAGCATTCAGCAGCCACTCCAATTTATAGCACTTCTGCAGCTGCTTCTTCCTGCCTCCATGCCATAGCACACCTGTCCTCGCTCTGCCGGCACTGCCCTAGGTGTTGCCACACTTTAAACCAGAGTCGGGATCTCCTTTGCCATGAAAAAAACTCAGCCTATTATTTTTCATCTGAAAGCCAGCTTAGCTCCAAGAACCATAATGCAGCAAGAGGATACCTGTGCCAGCACAAGGTTGGGAGCAGTGTGCCATGGCACAGAGGCGATGCAAAGTACATGGAAATGGAAGTTTCTGGAGCTGGCACTCACAAGCACAATGTTTGTGTTCCTTCCTTAAGCAATACTCTCCTCACTGTCAGATGATTAATCTTCAGCCATCAGGGTTTTTTTAGAATGTGCTTGATTAATGCAATTGCAACCCCATTAGAATTTTTTTTCTCTTGCAAATCAGAGCTCTTTTCAGAATAAAAATTTGTCCACTCAAAACCACTCAATTGTTATTCCTAAAAAGACTTGAGATGGTGATGTATGACAAAAATTATAACAAATAAAAAGCTCTGAGTTGAAGAAAATGTTCTCTGACACTGGCAGTACATTTTGTCTATGGAGAACATTTTCAGATACTCGTATTAGGAAATGATATAGAGATATTATTGGATTTTCACAAAAACACAGGATGTCTCTTCTTAATTTCAGAATATAGTTAGGAATTTTCCCAAAAATGTTATTAACCCCAATAGGAAGAGACGTCCCCACGGATGCTGATAGTTTTAGAGCACAAAATCCTGCTAAGAATTACGCTGAGTAGCCAGAAAGAAAAAGACCAGACTGCACATACTACCTGCTGCTGGAGTAACCTGATTGACTGTACACAATTTTCTCCAAAACACAATAAAATTTGTGTAAACACAGAGCTGTGCTAGCCTGTAACTTACTGTTTGCAGAAACAAGTCTCTGTGATGTTGCTTACCAAGTCCTGCTCACGCTGGCTTCCTCCTTCTGGACAAACCCTCCCTCCTTTGCTCATATTATTAATTGTCATTACCGTAGAGCAGAGTGGCCAGCTCAGGCTGGATCCCATTGCACTAGTCCCTGTGTGGTGCACAGGAGAGCTGGACCCTTTGCCGTGTGCAGACAAAGGTCAGGGAAGGATGAAATAAGGCACAAGCAGAATTGTCATTGCACGGGCCATGAATTTCACATCAGCACCACAAATGTATTTTCCTTTTGTTTCCCTATTTAAATCCTCCGTGTGGAAACATTCTGGGAAGGGGGTTGCTGAGTGTGAAGTCAGGGACAGAAAGGCTGGAAGCGACAAGGATGCCGGGTGGGAGGGAATGGCCTCTTCCCCAGGGAGCAGATGCCGAGTGTGAGCAGCGGTCGTGCTCCCTTCCCAGCACTCTCTGCCTCAGCAGACCCTCCTTGACTATACCTCTGTGTGCTTTTTTTCCCCCAAAGCCTCACAAGTGATGAATGAGCAAATAGCCCATGGGTGCCAGTGCTCATAGCTGCTGTCTCCTCCATCTACTGCTGAGCCTGGGCAGAGAGCAGGGACCAAGCTCTGCCTCACCCTTTGGACCAGAACAGGGTTTGCGCAGACTTCTCCCTCCCTCCTACCTACCCCTCCTGTCAGAACAGGACTATTCCCTGCATTTATTTTCTCTTGCATAATATTTACATCAAACAGACTGTTACTATTGCCACTATCATTCCCGGCACCAGATACCTGCTGCAAGGAGCCAGGGATCAGGGTGGGAGAACTGGCAGAGGTGGGAGCTGGCCTGGCTGCAGGCTGGTGAGGACCTGCAGCCCTGTGTCCCCGAGCACAGGGTGCCTCAGGATGCCAGACGTCTTGCAGGAGCAAGTCCATCCTCTCTGTCACAGGCCTTGGACATGCCGCGTGGAAAGGGGCTGCAGGTAGGAAAGGAGCACGTCTGCCTTCTGCCCTGCCCCGTGGCAGTTTTGGAGAGCAGGAGCAACACGTGTGCTTTAAACACCCTACAAGCAACACTTGCAGTTAACATTGATGGAAAGGAGACACAGGCTCTCCCTGTGTCCTGTTCCTCCGTGGGGCTGGTGGCTGCTGCCCTCCCCTGTGGGGGCACCAGTCTGCCTCGAGGCAGCACACCTGGGAGCACAATGCTGCTGAGAGATTTATTTCATCATCCCTTATTTTTATAAGTAAAAATATATTCCCCTTGTCTCTGGGAGAAAAACATGGTGGACATTTTCATATCCATCTGCTCAAGCCTCTGGAGGCTATGTACACATATGATTTCAGAGTTGACTGTAAATTGTTTTGAAAAGCAGCACTTTCCTGACCTTCTTTGCAATGTCCTTTTGTTCTGCCAAAAGCAAACAGAAGTGTCCTCTGCTGGTAAGCATTTAAAATAATAGCTCATTCCTTTTCTCCCCCTTTTGCAATACTGTTTTTCTGTTTGGTTTCTTCTCATCACTCACATTTTAGTTTTCATTTCTCTCTGAGGAACATTTATGTTTGGGTGCTGTTCCCCTGGAGAGGACCTTCCTGAGGACAGCTTGGATGGTGGCTGCTCTGCCAGAAAGACCTCTCTTACATGGAGCTAATAACCCAGCCTTCATCTCTGCTGGCAGCCTGCAGGCAAAATTAATCCTTTATCCCCAGGACTCTTGTTAATTTAATTATTTTTGTATTGTTTGAGTGCTTTTTTCAAAAGCTGACTTTCCGTAAACATGCGCAGTACCACTGTGGTAATACACAAATGCCTTAATCATGCATCTGACAGTTTCTTCTGTGAAAGGCGTTTTCTGCACCTAAGTGATCAGGCAGATCCTTTATTGATATCAGAATTTAGATATCTAATCTCTTCTGACAACCGGAAACAGAACTAAACGCTGTTCACTGGGAGGCAAAGAGGAGAACAATGGCACTTGCCAGCCCTTGTTCCCATCGCTGTGCCACAAACGCTTCAGTCCATGCTTCAGATGACAGGTCACTCAAGACAATAGAACACCAGTTCCAGGCAACATAGGGCATTTGTAGCTTTTGTTTTAAAGCACTATTTTACATAACATATTTACACAAAAGGCAACATCCCCCCACCCCCCGCAAATTTGGCCCTTGAGTGACTGTCTTCAGGCAGGAAAAGAACTCATCTGGGAGCTGCACTCCTGCTCCCACTCCTCTCATGGAACACAAAGCCTCTTGTGCTTGGCCAGAAGCTCGGGATGTTTGTGCAGAAATACCAAACCACAGTGGGTCCTGGAACCAAAATGCCGAGGAACTCTCCCTAGATAGGTAGAATGCTCTAATGGCTTGGGGTCAAGAATATCTGTTTTGTACTCTTGATGGTATCACTGATTGACTCACGAACTTCAGGAGGTTACCACTTTTGAGGTTCTTTTCCATTCTGTTGCTGGTCTATGAAAATGGTCTTGAAGACCAGGATTTGTTTTCATAGTACTTGGCAAAGCAGTCCCAAAATCAGTTGAGGCCTGTACATACTAATATAACACAAATAAGATAGAGCCTGTTGCATACTCTTGGGAGACAGAGTTGTTATAATATTGCAAAATATTCTAAAGACATACAAGATTTCCAAATGTACTGAAATGCATCTCAAAGAGATATTTCTGTGGTATTTCATCACAGAAAAAGACTAATACATATCACCCATTGAACCTCAGGATCATTTTCTGACCGCAGAGGGATTAGCTGCTTGTATTTGATTCACTAGTCAAATTAACAGCGTCCTTTTTAATGCAAATCACCGTAAGGTCTCATTTAAATCCAGGCATATTCCTGGAAGTCTCATATCCTCTCTTCTGCCACCTCCGGGGTCCTCCTGAACCGATCCGATTTCTAGACCAGTTTTTCTAGAGACATTTCCTCTCAAACTGAAACACTGCTGTCCTTGTATAGGTACTGTGATCTAGGAAATACAAACATCTGATACTAATTCAGGGCTAGGGCCTGCCAGTTCCTCATGAGTAGTACCATAATCTGTGAGTAAAGGCATTGATGGTCACTGAGCCACTCAAGAATATGCCACTATTCACTACAAACAGAGGTAGGAAGTTTGATGTCTGGGGAAACAAAGTTCATGGGCAGATGCCAAAAAGTGCCTAATGGTAACACCTGGAAAAGTAAAGGAAGACGTTCAGGTCTGGTCCTGGTTTATGTTACCACAAGTTACAAGTGCCTCTCTGTCGCGGACTGCCTGTGTCTTCTTCCAATGGGTCGCAACCAAACGGCTGTTGCGACCACAACGTATTCCACAGTCAGAAGGCTCTTCTAAACTCACTGCTATCTTAGTCCAACAGAGAGCTCCAACTCTCACTCTCTAGGGGGCTCC